TTTGACAACTCTACCTTTCCCAAATCAAATTCTAAATGATCTTCTCAATTTCAAACTGGCTTTGGGATTTCCCAGAGGGTCTCTGGAAGATCTCAAAGGATCTCTTCTTTCACCTTGTAAAAGAGACATGTTAAACTTATTAATTTTAATTGACCTATTGGATTTCCTGAAAGGCACTATCAAATAATACATGCGGCTCAACCTTCCAAAAATGATATTTATATGAATAGATGTTATTGATGTAAGGACGTTGGAAGTTATATAAAATTCCTATATATTTGCTAGCGCCCTCACAGACCAGGAATGTCCTGGTATGATATTATCAGTCATAATTCCAGTTTATATTTTAAATGGTATGTATGTTATAGAAATGACCAAGTTTTATTGTCAGTTGTGTTTTTTACTTATTTTATTTATTTATTTATTTAAAAAATTTTTTTAGAGAGGGGTACCTGGCTGGCTCAGTTGATTAAGCATCTGACTTCAGCTCAGGTCATGATCTCACAGTTTGTGAGTTTGACCACTGCATCGGGCTCTGTGAAGACAGTTCAGAGCTTGGAGCCTGCTTCAGATTCTGTGTCTCCCTCTCTCCTGCCCCTCTTCCGCTCATGCTCTGTCTTTCTCAACAATAAATAAACGCTAAAGAAATATATTTTTCATTTTTTTTAGAGACAGAGGGAGCACGTGATAGGAGAGAGGAGCAGAGGGAGGGAGAGAGAGAATCCCAAGGCTCAAGCCCTGGGATAAACGATCTGAGCCAAAATCAAGAGTTGGAAGCTCAATTAACTAAGCCACCCAGGTGTCCTAGTGGTGTTGCGTTTATAAGGGACTCTCATCAAATCTTTAACCCCCGGCCATTTAAGTCTTTGTCACCCACAGGTAGTTTTTGTTTCACCCTGCTACTCTCCAAAAGCATTTGCAATCAGCTACATGCCAGAGTGCTTCGTCTTCAACCGAAAGGGACTGTCTCCAAGATCCATGGTAAGGAATATGACAGGTACCCTGGGGTACAGACTTCTGAGGGCCTTACTTCAGTAACTCTAAGACCATCCCACAGGACTAAGGCTTTCCAGAAATCTAGTGGAGAAACTGATGGGTTCATGAAACTAACCAAGATCAAGCAGGACAAGAGTTAACTACATGGAACTGAATAAACTGATAAAGGATGATCATAATTTTCTATGGCTTTAGTCTGGAATATTGTTGGCTCTTTTTTTCATTTTATTTATTTCTGAGAGAGAGAGAGAGCGTGAGCAGGGGAGGGTCAGAGAAAGAGGGAGACACAGAATCTGAAGCAGGCTCCAGGCTCCCTGGAATATTCTTGGCTCTTTAGTATTCTATTTTCTGTATACAAAAAAAAAAAAGACAAAAAAAAAAACCCACCTTTTTAATTTTAAAGTTTATTTACTTTGAGAGAGAGAGAGATTGAGTGCATGGGTGCGTGTGCACGAGCAAGTAGGGGAGGGGCAGAGAGAGGGAGAGTGAGAGAGAGAGAGAAAGAGAGAGAGACAGAATCCTAAGCAGGCTCTGCACTGTCTGAGCCAAGCCCAACATGGGACTCAAATGGGGCTCAAATGCAGCTCGCACTTACGAACGGTGAGATCATGACCTGAGCTAAAATCAAGTCAGACACCTAACTGCCTGAAACACCCAGGTGCCCCTTCTTTTTTCTCTTAAGCTACCCATGAGTCATAACACGTTAGCAAGTTAATAGTTTTGTAAACAAAATCAAAGCATTTATCTTTTTCTCCCTATTCCTCCAAAAATTGGGAACTATTATTAAGTATTCTTATTTTCATGGCAATATAGTTATTTGCGTAGGTTCAATAAGAACATGTCCTTTCTTATAGGACATAACTTGAAAAAGTTACGTAAAGTATATATAAAATGTCATATTTGAAAATTATACGTGGAATCAGACATGACCAGACAGTTTCGAGAACTGTAGTCAACTTTACAAGGAGGCAGTGCTTACAAAGTCCTCTTGAAAAAACCAGCCTTGTACTTGGCTTACAGAAGTTCCCAGCCTTACGGGTGAGTAAGGAAAGTCCCTTCCTGGCAGACCCAGGAGCCCTAAGATATTTGGGGGACCATAAGAAGAAAGGAACTCACTCAAATCTATAGGTGAGCTCTGATTAATGCTGAGTTCTTGCTTTGGCTTCCCAGACTTGAAAGGCTTTTAAAATTCCAATCTGAGATTCCCCATAAAAAGTTCTACAAAGCAAACTTAACAAGCCTTATGTGGTCAATTCCCATTTTTGCTGCACTTATGTAAATAATCAGGCCAAATTTAATGAGACCAGAATGATTTTGTAAACAAGAATAATATTTGTGTGGCCATCTTTGATCAAAAAGGGAAGTGGCTACAGAGGGAGATGTTATGTCTCAATGGAAAAAAATAATACAAAATTGTGGGTTATCAGACTCTAATCCTATTTATTGTGTGGGAGCTTTTACTATACTGTCTGTGAACTGGACTGCATCCTGCCATCTTACATATTTTGTCAGCCCTTACCAAACCCTCAGCTCTTCTAGTTTCCTTCAGCATCTTGCTACAACTCTCCAAAGTGATGTTTCCAATTTTCCTCCCTTCCCTCCTGACTTGGCATCACTGCGAACTAAAATCTGACTGCCCAGACCCTTCCTGGGACTCCGGTTGTCTTGCTGCTGCCCTTTTTCCTCCAGGATCTGAAAAAGCCCCGCGTGCTGAAGCATGAAGACAGCTTGGTATGACTCTCAAAGAGCCCATCACATAACAAATCACGTGCGTGCACCTTCATTCCTGGAGCTGCAGCTGCATGGGCCACTCAGGAGTCCATGGGAACTCCCACATCTTCCATGCTCTGCTTGGGGAAATAGACTTGACTGTGACACTGCTGTCTATACTATATTGGTGGAGAACAAGAAGCCAGAGGCACTGTAAGAATGTCCTGAAGGAAACGGACAGAGCTACAAGGAACTGAAAGCAGTTCCATTTCCAGATTGGAACGCTGTCGGGACTACTTGTTCTCTCCAGAAGGACATCATACAGGTGCCAGGCCAGCCCGTTTTGTCTGCTGCCAGATGTACTCATGACCCAGTATGGAATACACTGCGGGTGCATGACCTGTCAAGATGTCAAATACTATGTTGTATGTACTTGCTGTTATCAGACAAATAGCAAAATAAAAGAGGCTTGAGCCGGGAGACTGATATTTCAGCTCCTGGAGAGTCTTAGCCCCCTGCTTTTCAATTATCTCATCACTGCACCTTTAGGACCTCTCTCTCTTTCACTCTATCACCATAAACACTCAAACTACAAACTGGGAAATCCACTGGATTGCCACCATGGTCCTCACTCCACATTCTAAAGATGTTTAGGGGTCAATGTCTAAACTCTTGCCAACTGGCCATCTGTGGGACTCAAAAACCAGGCTTACGGTCAACTTCAACCATTAATCTTTGCTTTTCTTTCTGTTTCCATAGAAATGCCCCTCATTAAACGCCTGATCACTGGCATCATCCAGCAAGTATCCTCTACTACCCTGTCCCATAAGATGGTTCAACAAAAGGTGATCAAATGGAAAACAGGATTATATTATTCAGCAGAAAGAACATCTCTTCTTTGCTTTAACAAGAGGCAGAGACCTGCCAAAGACTCTCTCCTTGACCAAACTCCATCCAGGCTCCTCTGAGCCTCCTTCTCAACTAGGCCTCAACCTTGGCCTATAAAGCCTTGAACAAACACTAAACAGCATCTAACAGTTCAAAGTTGCATCCTTAGGATGACCTTAGCCCCCTTAAATGCCAGAGAAAACTCCAGGCTTCCAAAAGAAGTGACTGTTCCAGCCAACACCTGAAGATAGGGCTCCTTCTCCCAGTCTCTGTGGGAGCAAGGGAGCCTTGACACCAGATGGGTGTCACGTGTACCAGCTTCCTCTTCCTACTTTTTGTAACTTCTCACTTCCCTGACTGACTCCTACCAACCTCATTCCCCAAACACTCTCCCTTTGAAAAGACAAGTGCCTCTAAGCAAATCCGAATGGACCTCAGCTCTTTCCCCTACTGTTGGTAGTTACTGGATAAAATCTCCTTACTGCTGTAACTCGTGACCAGGTCTGTTCATCTATGACACTCCTCTCCCCACTAGGCCCCACACTGCTCCTCAGAACGCCTCTGGGGGTTGGGAGGCAGCAGGCAGTCAGGGAAGCTCATTCCCACGCAATTGGCAATTGGTCAAGAAATGTCCCTAATTTTAAAACCTGAAAGGCTGGTGTAACAGGTCCATTCTGGAGTGACCTCTTCTTTCTCAACATTCTCCCATGGGGATGAGGCCATATCACCCTGATCTAGAGCTGCTGCAGTGTTGGGGTCCCTCAGGGAACCCATTCCCCTGAAAGGAAACGCCTGGAGGTATCCCAGGGGTCAGCCCATCAGGCCTCCAGGGGGAAACTTGTCACTGAGCATCTCCAGGCCTTGAGGCCCATAATTCTCCCATTCCCAAGGGTCTGATCCCAGCTCAAAGATCAAGTGTGACCCTCCCATGGTGACTCAGGCCCCGACTCTGCAAGCCCATCTAGTCAAAGCACTCCCCCGGGAGACAGCCCCATCTTGGGATCTGGATCTCCATAGGAAGCCGGATCCCCTGTCCTTGGCTGGAACCTTATTCCCAAGTCGGACCTTTCCGTTCCAACACAGACCTCCTACTCCCTCAACAGTCTGGTCTCCCAGCCCCTTCTCCGGTCCAGAGACTCCCACTCAATGTCGGATCCTTTTACACGGTTCCTAATTTCACACCCCGCATTCGGAGTTCCTCACCCCAGGACAGATCCCCAAATAACCCACCTCCGATCAGATGCACCCCGGGACCGGAGACTCCCACCGCCGATGAGGTCCCCCCCCCCGCCCACGTCCGAAGACCCCCACCCCACCCCAGATCAGATCCACCCCGGGTCAGATCTGCCCCAGATCCGAAGAACCCCACCCCAGGCCGGATCCCCGCAGCCCTCCAGCTCACTCACCTCGCCTTGGTCGGCGGCGTCCTTGGCCAGGCGGACGCGCCCCGGGCCGGCGCAGGCAGCGCCGCGGACAGCCCCGGGCTCCCAAGAGGCCCCGCGCGGCTATGGCGGTGATGGCGATGGCTGCTGCGCTTCGGGGACCCGGCGGGCGCTTCCGGTGGCGAACACGTGCCACGGCGGGCGGGGTGCGGGGCGCTGCCAGGGGCGCAGCAGGTAGGGCGGGGCGGGCTCTCTGCGCCGGGCGGGGGGCGTCCGGGAAAGGGGGCGTCCTCCAGCGGTGGTCTACGTGGAGGGCTCCGCGCGGGCAGCATTCTGGGCTGGGACAGGAGTCTGCAGGCTTCCAGGCACTCCAGTCCCCCTTCCAGATGGGGAAACAGCTGCGGGACGCAGCCGCAGGTTCTGCTGTGTGAAATGATCTGTGCTCGCAGCCCCACCGCCAGCCAAATATAACTACAATCCTGGTGATTATGGTGGTTGTGACACCTCCTGAGGTTACCAAGCGCCATCACCTGCACACCCCATTAGTCAGACCTGGGCACCTCCTCCCCGAGTGCCTAGTGGCCACACACCGCAGGTGCTCAGTACTTGCCCTGCTTGGAATCATTGACGGGAGGCTTCCAAACTGATGGGCACCAAGCACTCACTGCTTCCAGTGCTGTGCAGGTGACTTGGGGAGGGGACAATACCTGGCTTGTCCTCCTGGAGCCACCCAGGATCACTAACCAAACCAGGTTATTAATTGTAACACCAGACACGGGATGGCACCATGCTCCAGAGCAGGGGCTGCATGCTGGGTCTTATGGGAAGGTTGGCACGCAGCCCTGCAGGACAGGGTGCCGAGAGCAGGCTGCAGGACCACCACATCTGCCATGGTGGCATGGCCAGTCCCACATGTGATGACATCTCCCCACCACATGCCTGCACAGTGACCGACCCCTAGACCTTGTCGCTGGATGACCCCCCATGGGGAATGAGCATTGAGGGGCCTGTGCAAGGAAGGGAGGAGGCCTCTTTCAGAGATGGTGGCTGTGGGAGGAAGAGTGGCAAGGCGCTTGGCCGGCAGTGGAATGAAGCTGACAGCATGCATAGATGGGCAAAGTTGTGTGCCACCATGTGGCCGTAGAGCGCCTAGGAGGTCAGGTGGCCCTGCAGAGTCCTGGGAGATGGGGAGATGGAGTTGCTCTTAGGGTGGCTTTGCTGACCCCTGGGATTTTGGTCAGGGCAATCCTTCTTTGAAAACCTCCTTGCTGCATGAGTCAGGTGAGACGTTCATGAGTTCCTGAGGATTAAATGCAGCAGTGGGGCCCTCACCCCCTTGGCAAGAGTAAAAGATGTGTAAACAGAAGCTGCTGCTGCTGCTGCTGCTGCTGTCACAAGCCCAGGGCCTTCAGGCCACTGTAACCTTGGCCTTAGGGCAGAGTGATGTGGCCCTGGAGTGGAGCTTTTTGTTTCCAGCTGGGCAGCACAAAAGATTCTGCCTCTTGGCCCTCGGGCAGCAAGGGGAAGGAAGCCCCAAGGCTGGAGCTTAGCTGCAGTGATGGGGAGCTGACAGGGCCTGGGCACAGTGCCAACCCCCAACAAGGATGCCCAGGGCTAATTTTGAGCCTCCTCCATCTCAACCGCAGCTTTCCGTCTGAGAGCAGGAAGGCACCTGCCTCGTCCCAGGCTTGGGGGTGGCCCATGCCACTCCGGAACAGGAATGACACTGCTGCTAGTGTCATCTGTCTCCTAACACCTGTTACCAGGAAGGATGCATGATGGGGTAATAGTCACAAAGGGACTCCCAACGTGGCTCCCTGGGGTGGCCAGTGTGCCTGTGGACACACAGGAAGGCCTCTGCTTGCCCTCCCAAAGCAGTGCATTGTTCATTCAGCCCTGCCACACTTGCTGGGGGCCAGGCCCCTGGTTCAGAGGGGGAGCAGAAAATTAAAAGACAATGGGCTCAGAACAAACTGGAGACAGACCTTACCAGGACTGAGCCCTGAATGTGCAGTGGGGAAGGGAAGGCTGTGAGACCGCCCAGGGCACCGGAGTGCACAAGTGTGTTCCAGGTAACCCCCACAGAGCAGCATCCACCTCATCTGCCTTACAGGCCCTTGAGGGTCCTTCCTCCTGGCAGGGTACCCAAACCCTCCTGCAGGTTTAAAGGCAGATTTCTTACGCTTAGCAGAAAGTTCCTCTGCTGACCTCTTCTTCCACGTGTTTATCAGACTGAGAGGCTCCTGGGTGTGCACGGCAGGCTCGGAGGGCAAACCAAGGATAAGCTGGCAATCTACACAGCCAGTTGCTCTCCCTGCCCTCTGCCTGATAGCGGGCAAAGGGGACATGGTGTGGGTCTGGGGACACTAGGAGCTTGCAGGGACCTGTTCTGTCAGCAAGAAGGACCAGCACCAGCACCTGCAATGGAAGGTAAGGGCGTTCTCCTGGGCAAAATCTTAGTGTGTCCCCCCAGCTCGTTCACCACAGGACAGCTAGGAAGAGAGGCGCTGCCCTGCCCCGTAGGTGTGTGGTCCTCACAGCCCAGCAGTAGCTTGTCTCCAACCAGCAGTCTGTCCTCAGTTCTTTGGGCTCATATCAACACCACCAGAATAACTGACAAACTTTAGTCCCCTTTGGAGCCCTTGAGTTGAATTTGGAATTAGGTCCACCGTGGACTGGCTGTTTGAACCAAGTTGTGGCTCGGTTCAATCCCATGTGTGCCTCTGCACGCATTGCAGGTGCCCTCAAATGCCGCATGCAGGACAGAAACTGGGGTGGGCTTGGCTCTGGGGTGGGTGCAGTGGGGCCTCTCTACAGGGCAGGCTGGCAGCAGGCCCCCAGCTGAGCCCCTGGACACAGGCTCCTGGTGGCGACTCCCCTAGCTTCACTGACTGCAAGCCAGGGCCTCCTCTAGGCTCAACTGAGCTCCTGTGTCCTTGCAGAGCATATGTTCTGGACCCAGTCTGTGGGGCATCTACAGAGCCGGGGTCCCTGAGGGGTGCAGGTCTTCAGGAGTATTCTCTACAGACTTGCCTACCAGAAAGGTCAAGGTGGCCACGAAGGCAGGTTCCAGTGTGGCCAGCTGTGCTGGCCTTGGATGCCAGACCCTTATTTGATCACAGGATCCTGTGCTTCGCCCAGGAGCAGTGGGCAGCTCTGGACACGCTGGCAGCAGTCTGACCCCTGCTCCCATTCTGTGTACTGGTTATTTTCTGCTCTTTCTTCCTTTCTCTATAGGGAATAGGCCAGTGCCTGGTGCTGGGCATCTCCAGCATGGGCCCTGGGTCAGAGCTTTCACCAGCCAGCCACACCTGCTCCTCACCTACCTCCCACCCATTCCTTTGCTCACCACCCCCCACCTTTCTCACTGCCTCTTGTCTGCTTTCCATGCCAGCAGTTTACAGAAGAGATAGATAACATCTTCCACAAGGCAGGAAAGATGTGAGCGGCCCTGTGTGCTGGGCGTGGGAGTGGACTGTGTGTTGCCTCCAAGGTGACACCATGGTGAGCCCAAGAGGCATTTCACAGTCACTTCTCCCCCAAGGCCCACAGCGCACCAGGCACTCTGAGAGGCCAGGGTGTGCTGCCTGATGCAGGGACTGCTTTTTATGTTTTCACTCAGAGCAAAAGGTGACCGTTACAAATGAAAGACAGACTCAAGAAAAGTGTTTTTGTTTTTTGGGATTTTTGGTAATTCCTATTTTTGAAAGAGAGCGAGAGCATGAGCAGGGGAGGGGCAGAGAGAGAGGGGGACAGAGGATCCAAAATGGGCTCTGTGCTGACAGGCTGACAGCACAGAGCCCAACATGGGGCTGGAACTCACAAACCACAAGATCATGACCTGAACTGAAGTTGGACGCTCAACTGACTGAGCCACCCAAGCACCTTTCAAGAAAAGTTCTTTAATCCCATGCCTGGCTTAGAACATTGGGTGAAGTGTAAGTTCAGAGCAGTGCTGCCAGTTGAATTACCTTCTTCTTGACCTGATCGTTGTTGCAAAAGCAATTACACACCCTTGGCCAAACTCACCTGCCATTGCTTAGTTTCAGGATTTGTGCTGATGATGGATGCCATCGTTGCCTTCTGCCCCGGTATGTGATATATTATCACCCCAGACCATCGGGGCTCCGATTCTACAGAACAGATCCCGTACCACATTTAACCAGGCAGAGCTGTTTGTCCTTTGGAAATCACATGTCGTCTTGTGGATCCATGCCCCAGACTTGTCCTGCCCCTTCCTCTTACCTCTCACTTTTTTCTCCAGCAGGGAGGCAGGACTACGATCTCCTGGTGATTGGTGGGGGATCTGGTGGCTTGGCCTGTGCCAAGGAAGGTATGTGTCCTGTGCCCTGCATCCTGCCAGTGTGGCGGGGCCTCTGAGCTTTCAGGGACCCCTGGAGAGGGCTGAATTGTTCTCGTAGGTGGGTGGAGATGTGTCCTGAGTGGCCATGCACAGAATGCATTGTCTCTGTAGCTGGCCTGCTGGCCTCTGGGGTCCTACATCCTTGCCAGGGTTACCCCAGGAGCCCCATAACTGTGCCCTGCTCCCTGCTACTCCCCAGTTATCTATGTAGCACCCAGCAGCCAGGATAGCACCCAGGTCTGAGCCTGCCCTCTTGGGCTCCAGCCCCAGGCCTCATGGGATCTGTCCCCACCCATCTGACGTGCCTTCCACCACCCACACCCTTGCTCGCTCTTCCACTCCAGTCCCCGGCAGCCTTGCTGTTTGGCAGATGCTTCCTGAAGGTCTTCCTGGCCTTGCTCCTCACCCTGGCTGTCTGCCCGGCCTGGCCCGGTCTTTGCCAGCCTGGTTAGCTGTGGGGTTCACTCACCTTCCTTCAGTCTTTGCTGCCGAGATGGCCCTACTTAGAATTACACCCTCCAACACACATCTGATCCCTGCTCCCAGCTCCACTGTCCTCGTTCTTAGCCCTGGCACTGTCCCACAGAGAGCACGATTTGTTCTGCTGTCCGTGTCTACCCAGATGGGCCTGGGTACCCCAGGGTGCTCAGTAAAGATGTATTGAATGAGAGGGCTGGACCCAGAGGCATCCAGAGACCTCGTGTTGCAGTTTGCCACCAATCTGGGTGCTGAACAGACGGCCATCATTTCACTGGGGGCTTTGCACTCTGCCGTAGGA